CTTTTCCCTTTCTCTCCTTCCCCTCTTTTGCCTTCCCTTCCCTCTCCTTTCCCTCTCTTCCCTCACCTTCTTTTCCCTGTTTTGTCGTCTCTTTCCTTTCCATATTTTCCTTTTCCTTTCTCCCCATTCCCATTTCCCTTTTTCTTCACTCTCATCCCTTCCCTTTTTTCCTCTTCCACTCCTTTCCCTCTCCATCTCTCTTCTTCCCCTTTCTCATCTTCTTCTCTCTCTCCTTCTCTTCTCTCCCCTTTCCCTTTTTCGCTGCCTATCTCTTTCGTTCCCCTTTTTTTTCTCTTCCACTCCTTTCCCTTTCCATCTCTCTTCTTCCCCTTTCTCATCTTCTTCTCTCTCTCCTTCTCTTCTCTCCCCTTTCCCTTTTTCTCTGCCTATCTCTTTCGTTCCCCTTTTTTTTTTCTCTTCCCCTCTCTCCCAATTCCCTCTTTCTCTAAACATCTCTCCCTTTCTCTTCCTTTTCCAACTCGTCTCATCTCTTCCTCTGTCTCCTCTTTCCCTCTTTTTCTTTCCCCTCTCATCCCTTTCCCCTGTCTCGTCCCCCCTTTTCCCTTCCCCCTCTCCTCATTTTCAACCCCATTCTTTCTTTCTTTCTTTCTTTCTTTCATTCTTTCCCCTCTCATTCCTTCCCCTCTCATCCCTTCCCCTGTCTCTCCTTTCCCTCTTTTCCTTTCCCCTCTCATTCCTTCCCCTGTCTCCCCTTCCCCTCTCATTCCTTCCCCTCTCATTCCTTCCCTTGTCTCCCCTTCCCCTCTTTTCCTTTCCCCTCTCATCCTTCCCCTGTTTCCCCTTCCCCCCTTTTCCTTTCCCCTCTCATCCCTTCTCCTGTCTCCCCTTCCCCTCTCACCCCTTCCCCTGTCTCCCCTTCCCCTCTCATCCCTTCCCCTGTCTCCCCTTCCCCCTCTTCCTTTCCCCTCTCATTCCTCCCCCTGTCTCCCCTTCCCCCCTTTTCCTTTCCCCTCTCATCCCTTCCCCCTGTCTCCCCTTCCCCTCTTTTCCTTTCCCCTCTCATTCCTTCCCCTGTCTCCCCTTCCCCTCTCATTCCTTTCCCCTCTCATCCCTTCCCTGTCTCCCCTTCCCCCCTCTTCCTTCCCCCTCTCATTCCTTCCCCTGTCTCCCTCTCATTCCTTCCCCTCTCATCCCTTCCCCTGTCTCCCCTTCCCCTGTCTCCCCTTCCCCTCTTTTCCTTTCCCCTCTCATCCCTTCCCCTCGGCGCGAACGCAGGTGGCCTGGCCCGTTCTGATGGGTAATGAAGCAAGGGGCACCAGTGTACACATACGCACATGAATGCACAGACATCCACGGACACACGTACACATGCGCGTATCCTTTCACTCTCGTGCTTTCCCCCTTCGTCTGTTAAGAGTTGTTAATGTAAAGTCCTTTTACTTTCATTTCGTTAATGATAAACCTGATGATTTTCTTTCTAATTCTAAACGATTTGCTTTTAGTTGACTGGGTTTTCATTAAATCTGCTTCCGTTTTTGCTTTTGTTGTTCTTGTTCTTGTTTTTTTTTGGGGGGCGGGGGTTGATTTCATTGCAGCGTCATCATTTTCGACTTTGATATCGGTTTCGATTAGCTTTATTATTGGTGTCATTGCCATGTCTACTTTTATTTTAAATCATTATTATTTTTATATCAGTATCCCTATCGTTGCTGGTGGTTTGTTTTCTTTATCACTGTTATCATTATTATTATCATTATCGTTATCATTGGCTTGTTTTAATTACAATTGATATTACTCTCATTTCCATGTTCATCATCATTGCCATATGCTAATTATCCTCATAACCGTTACTATCAGTCCTAATCACGTGAATTTGGATTTCCTTTATCAAGATCATTATGATCGGCGTTTTACCATCATTATCGTCGTTGTACGAAATTAATTACATGCCCTGAGGTCCCTTATTCATCATTTCTATAAGCACTCCTGTAATTACCCTTCTTATCTCATTATCATTATCATCCTTATTAATGCAATTACCCCTTATCGCTAGCAAGGAAAATTGTCAATTCCCATTAATCTAATTATAGTTTACCCTAAGGTACTTTTATAGAACTAATGAGTGTGAGGAGTGTGGCGGAAACAAATATCCAAAATAGGAAACAAACACATGACCCGCTGTGGTTGGGGATGTTATTGTTGTTGTTGTCGTTGATTTGTTTGTTGTAGGACTTCTGAGGTAAAGAGGGCGAGGCGAGCGAAGAGGGGAGGAAGGCAACATTTTTAGGGATGAGGGGAGAGGGGTAGGGGAGAGAAGAGTTAGGAGGAGGAGGAGGAGGAGGAGGAGGGGGAGGAGGAGGAGGAGGAGGGGGAGGAGGAGGAGGAGGAGGAGGGGGAGGAGGAGGAGGAGGAGGGGGAGGAGGAGGAGGAGGAGGGGGAGGAGGAGGAGGAGGAGGGGGAGGAGGAGGAGGAGGAGGAGGAGGAGGTGGAGGAGGAGGAGGAGGAGGAGGAGGAGGAGGTGGAGGAGGAGGAGGAGGAG